AAAGTTCACTTTTCTTTTACAGTTATCTAGTTCCAGCACTAGTTAAACATTTTCCTTTCTCCAGTACATTTTTTGGTGTCTTAGTAAAAAGAAAAACCTCAATTGACCGTGTATTTCTGGACTCTATTCTGCTTAATTGATCTATTTGTGTATCGTTTTGCCAGTACCATACTATATTGATTACTCTAGCTTTAAAAAGCCTTGAAATCGCCAGGCGTGGTGGGCTCACGCCTGTAATCCCAGCACTTGGGGAGGCTGAGGTGGGTGGATCACGAGGTCAGGAGAATTGAGACCATCCTGGCTAACGCAGTGAAACCCTGTCTCTATTAAATACAAAAAATTAGCTGGGCACGGTGGCGGGTGCCTGTAGTCCCAGCTACTAGGGAGGCTGAGGTAGGAGAATGGTGTGAACCCGGGAGGCGGAGCTTGCAGTGAGCCGAGATCCCGCCAGTGCCCTCCAGCCTGGGCGACAGAGCGAGACTCCATCTCAAAAAAAAAAAAAAAAAAAAAAAAGCCTTGAAGTCAGATAATGTAAGTCCTCTAACATTGCTCCTGTCCTTCCAGATTACTCTGGCTACTCTAGGTCCTTCATATAACCATATATGGCTAATTTTTTTGGTATTTTTAGTAGAGATGGGGTTTCACCATGTTAGCCAGGATGGTCTCGATCTCCTGACCTTGTGAGCTGCCCGTCTCGGCCTCCCAAAGGGCTGGAATTACAGCTGTGAACCATCGCACCCGGCCTGGTGTTTTTTTTTTGAGACCAAGTTTCACTTGCCCAGGCTGGAGTGAAATGGTGCAATCTCGGCTCATTGCAACCTCCGTCTCCCAGGTTCAAGCGATTCTCCTGCCTCAGCCTCCCAAGGAGCTGGGATTACAGGTGCCTGCCACCATGCCTGGCTAACTTTTGTATTTTTAGTAGAGATGGGGTTTCACCATGTTGGCCAGGCCGGTCTTGAACTTCTGACCTCAGCTGACCTACCCGCCTCGACCTCCCAAAGTGCTAGGATTACAGATGTGAGCCTATTTTGGTCTTTAATCTCTGAGTAATGCTTTGTGGTTTTCTTCATAAAGGAATTGTATATATTGTACCAAATGCATTCTAGAAAATAGGTATTTCCAATGTCATGTTAATTTTTGTTTTTCTTCTTGGGAAGATGGGAATCACAACGTACAGGCTTCTTACATGCCTGTCTGGAAAATCACTTACAATTTTAAAAAAAGGTCTTTAGAAGGTCAAATAGAGCCATAAGAAAAATGGAGTGAGACCCAATCCATTTTACACATACGATAGGGCAATGTGCCGCACAGCGCCAGCTTCTCCAGACACACGAGTGACAGCTCTCGGTCAGATTCACTGTAAAGATGTCTTTTCACTCAGAAAACTCAAGTGGCACTTGATGAATGTAGCTGACATGATGATGTGACATCCAGAGCCCTCCACGTGGGACTGCCAACCCCTCAGCCCCTCCGCTGCAGAGGCACACTCTTCCCAGGGCCCTTCAGCCAGTGACAGAATGAGGGGTAGACAGGCCTGGCCATCTCGGTCCTACACAGGACCACCTGATGGCCAGTTCTGCTCCCCTGCATTGTGGACACCCTCAGCTCCGGCCCATCGCTCTGTGCTGTCTGCAGGGCCCTGCTCCACATCTCATTCCATCTCAGCATCGGTGCCAGTGTGTAGTCTGTTCTTCCCCAGTTTAAACTTGCTAATCTTCACTTGAGAGCTCTAAGTCTCAAGAAAAGTGCAAATACAGGTACAGAATGAAATCTTAGTTGAGGTAACAACAAATTACAAATACTAATTTTTTTAAATGAAAATATTTCCTTTCCTCAACATCCAGTAAACTTTTCTATCCCAGGTTTAGAAAACCCCGATAATTGTTTATGAAAGAATGTGTTTTGGTAGTTTGATGTGATGATTTTTGTTAAGTATAAAAAGCTTTACCAGAAGAGCCAGACTATCATTTTTTAAGTTTTTTTTTTGAGACACAGTCTCACTGTTGCCCAGGCTGGAGTGCAGCAGCACAATCTCGGCACACTGTAACCTCTGCCTCCTGGGTTCAGGAGATTCTCCTGGCTTAGCCCCAAGAAGCTTGGATTACAGGTGCACGCCACCATGCCTGGCTAATTTTTATATTTTTAGTAGAGACAGGGTTTTGCCACGTTGGCCAGGCTGGTCTCGAACTCCTGACTTCAGGTGATCCACCCATCTCGGCCTCCCAAAGTGCTGGGATTTCAGGCGTGAGCCACCACGCCTGGCCCATTATTTAAAAGTTGACTCCCTCATGACGACAGTCTTACAGGAATAGATGCTCCATCAATTCCCATAGGATTTGGACCTACAGGACCAGGTCCCAAGTGACTTCATGTATCTTACAGCTGTTGGGCTATACAATGGTATTTTCCTGAGTCTTGGAAGCAGCTGTTCATTTGAAGGCCTCCCCAGTGAATTTCTCCTGAGACTTCTGAGTAAAACCCAGGATGTGAACGGGCTGAACTCCAGATTTTGCCTTCTATATGCAGGAAATGCTGATGCCACAAGAGATTGTGTCTAAGGGCAAGGGTGCCCTGGTTCTCTGCTGCTAGGGCTATTTGGAATTCAGTGGTTATTTTTCAGAAAGAAATAAATGGTAAGTATCGTACTGAGTCATAAGTGTTAAGAGACATGCTGTGATGGTTGCTGACTTTGTGTCACCTGACTGGGCCAAGGGATGCTGAGATGGCTGGGAAAACATTACTTGGGGCTGTGTCTGTGAGTGTTTCTGGAAGAGGTTAGTGTTTCAATTGGCAGAATAAGCAAAGATCACCTTCATCAATGAGGACGAGCATGATCAATCTGCTGAGGGCCTGAATAGAACCAAAAGGCAGAGACAGGAAGGGCAAATTTGCTCTCTGCTTGAGTTGGGATTCCATCTTCTCCTCCCCTCCAACACTGGCACTCTCTGGTTCTCCAGGCCTTGAACTCAGACCCGGGACACCATTGGCTCTCCTGGTTCTTAGATCTTCAGGTTTGACCGAGAACTATGCCACTGGCTGTCCCAGGCCTCCAGCTTGCAGACGGCAGACCATGGGACTTCTCAGCCTCCAGGACTGCATAAGCCACTACTTCACGAGAAATCTCTTTCTATATCTCTATCTATATCCTATTTGTTCCATTTATCTGGAGGAGCCTAATACACATGCAAAAAGTATAAAAAGAAAATATGGAAAAATTGAATAGCGAGCATAATTTTATTCAAAATATAACTGGTTAGCTCATAAAAATTGCTCAGAAATATTGCCAGGTGCAGTGGCTCACGCCTGTAATCCCAGCACTTTGGGAGGCTGAGGTGGGTGGATCACCTGAGGCCAGGAGCTCGAGACCAGTCTGGCCAACAAGGCGAAAGAAACCCTGTCTCTACTAAAAATACAAAAATCAGCTGGGCGTGGTGGTGCATGCCTGAGATCCCGGTTACTCGGGAGGCTGAGGCAGGAGAATCACTTGAATCCAGGAGACAGAGGTTGCAGTGAGCCAAGATTGTGCCACTGCACTCCAGCCGAGGTAACGGAGTGAGACTCCATTTCAAAAAACAAAGAAATACCAAACAATAATATGTACCAACAGTTTGCCCTAAGTGAAGTTGGCCTCTTACATTTATTGCTATTGGTTGAAGCTATTTTCCACATGGAACTTCTCAGGCACATAAAACATATAAACATTTCTTTCTTTTTTTGTTGGAGACAAGGTCTTGCTCTGTTATCCCAGCTGGAGTGCAGTGATGCAATCATGGCTCACTGCAGCCTCGATTTCCTGGTCTCAAGCGATCCTCCCACCTCAGCCTCCCAAGTAGCTAGGACCACAGGAACTGCAGCCTCGACCTCCTGGTCTCAAGGGGTCTCCCACCTTACCTCCCAAGTAGCTGAAAACACAGGCACATGCCACCATGCTTGGCTTAATTATTATTTTTTTTTGAGTCTTGCTCTGTCACCCAGGATGGAGTGCAGTGGCGCAATCTAGGCTCACTGCAACCTCTGCCTCCTGGGTTTCAAGTGATCTCCTGCCTCAGCCTCCTAGTAGCTGGGATTACAGATGTGTGCCACCACTCCCAGCTAAATTTTTTGTATTTTTAGTAGAGATTGGGTTTCACCATGTTGGCCAGGCTGGTCTTGAACTCCTGACCTCAGATGATCCGTCCGCCTCAGCCTCCCAAAGTGCTGGGATTACAGGCATAGCCACCGCGCCCGGCCCTTGGCTAATTTTTAATTTTTTTTGTAGAGATGGGGTCTCATATGTTGCCTAGGCAGGTCTTGAACTCCTGGCCTCAAGTAGTCCTCTCACCTCAGCCTTTCTTTTTTTTTTTTTTTTTTTTTTACTTTTTTTTTTTTGAGACGGAGTCTCGCTCTGTCGCCCAGGTTGGAGTGCAGTGGCGCGATCTCGGCTCACTGCAAGCTCCACCTCCCGGGTTCACGCCATTCTCCTGCCTCAGCCTCCCGAGTAGCTGGGACTACAGGCGCCCACAACCGCGCCCGGCTAATTTTTTTTGTATTTTTAGTAGAGACAGGGTTTCACCGTGGTCTCGATCTCCTGCCTTGTGATCCGCCCGCCTCGGCCTCGCCAAAGTGCTGGATTACAGGCGTGAGCCACCGCGCCCGGCTCACCTCAGCCTTTCAAAGTGCTGGGAATTATAGGCTTGAGAGACTACACCCAGACAAAATATAAACATTTGTAGGAAAGCTAAATCTAAGACAACTTTTAGGGAAGACAACATGTAAAACTCTATATAAAAAGCTTCTGGACTGAAGGACAGCAGCAAAAGGATAATAAAATAATTTTAAGTCCTTTATTTTGAATATCAGAATTACATTTCAAAATATGATATAATTTATATTAAAGATATCAGTACCATAAATCTGTATCTTACAGTAGGAATATAGAGTAAACAGCCTGTATACACTTTGCACTGACACATTTTATGTACACAACTCTATACAGTATCTACTAATCTCCAGAAAACCACCTACAATCCATCCGTCTGGACCGCAGACAAGTGGTTCTTTTGAGTCAGGATCTCACTCTGTCACCCAGGTTGCACTGCAGTAGTGCAATCATGGCTCACTGCAGTCTTGACCTCCTGGGCTCAAGTAATCCTCCCATCTAGGCCTCCTGAGTAGCTAGAGAGGCACACACCACGTCTGGATACATTTTGTATTTTTGGTAGACACAGGGTTTCACCATGTTACCCAGGCTGGCTCAACTCCTGGGCTCAAGTGATTCGCCTGCCTTGACCTCCATAGTGCTGGGATTAGAGGCGTGAGTGACTGTGCCCGGCGACAGTGGACAAGTTTACAAATAAACCAAAATTAAAAGATTCTCACTTTTCAGCTGCACATGGTGGAAATGTACATGTATGATGATGAAGCTGGAGATATTTCTCACACTGAAGACATTTAACTTTGTTCCATGCCAGCCATGAGTGACAGCGCTAGAGATTCCACTATGGGAAGAAAAAAAAATAAGGTTAAACAACAGGTTTAAATGTTGAAAAAAAAAATTTTTTTTTTCAAGACAGAGTCCCATTCTGTCACCCAGGCTGGAGTGCAATGGTACAATCTTGGCTCACTGCAACCTCCACCTCCAGGGTTCAAGCAATTCTCCTGCTCAGCCTGCTGTGTAGCTGGGATTTCAGGCATGTGCCACCAGTCCAGCTAATTTTGTATTTTTAGTAGAGACAGGGTTTTGCCATGTTGGCCAGGCTCTTCTCCCAACTCCTGACCTCAAGTGATTCAGTTGGCCTCCCAAAGTGCTGGATTACAGGTGTGAGCCACCGCACCAGGCCAGGAGCTTTAAATTCCTAAAAAAATTTTTAAGAAGTCTAGCTTTTGAAAAGAAGTTACAAAAACTACACGATAGTGAAGTGTGACAGAAATCTATTCTGCCATCGACTTTATTTAATAGTTTTAGAAATCTGTTGTAATAAATGGCGTAACAGAAAGTAAGATCCTCAGGCTTACAAATATTCGACATGCACTCACTCTCACTGTAATGCTTAAAAGCAATTCAAAGCATGGGACAACTGCTAAGGGACTTTTCAGTTTTGAAATGGTGAGAAATTCTAATTCTTCATGGGATCAGTAACAAAATAATGACACATACTCTTAGTTACAAGAAAATCAGAGCTAGAAACATTTTAACATGATATACTCACAATGGGGAAAGGATCCTCTACAGACGGCTTTGTTTAAATGGTTACAAGAAACATATGGCAGTTTTAAAATCAGACTCCATTTTCTCTATAGATTCCATTCTAGGAATAAAAGTAAATTTCAATTCAGTGAGTGCATTGGGGTTTATATGTAGGCTTCAAGATATCTGTGGAGTAATTTCAAATGTGTTTTGGTTTAATGATTTAAAATCCTAAATCTAAAGATTATAAAATAAAACACATAGCGTCCTACCCTACTTTAAAATAAAAAATGTCAAAGTGTTTCAAAGGAAGGTTCATTAGGATATAAAGCTGTGCTGTGCTGTTTCCAGATAGTATCTAGTTCTGGAACTAGGAGGACCAAAGACACTCCCTTTTCCTTTATTTATTTATTTATTTATTTATTTTTTTGAGACGGAGTCTCGCTCTGTCGCCCAGGCTGGAGTGCAGTGGCCGGATCTCAGCTCACTGCAAGCTCCGCCTCCAGGTTTATGCCATTCTCCTGCCTCAGCCTCCCGAGTAGCTGGGACTACAGGCGCCCGCCACCTCGCCCGGCTAGTTTTTTGTATTTTTTTAGTAGAGATGGGGTTTCACCGTGTTAGCCAGGATGGTCTCGATCTCCTGACCTCGTGATCCGCCCGTCTCGGCCTCCCAAAGTGCTGGGATTACAGGCGTGAGCCACCGCGCCCGGCCCCTTTTCCTTTAAACAGTTCTGTTTTTATTGTTTACAAGCATAAGTTCTCTTTGAAATAAAGAATACATTAAGGATATAAACCTTAAAATTTGAAATTATTTTTAAAAAGCCTTTTTTTTTTTTGAGACGGAGTCTTGCTCTGTTGCCCATGCTGGAGTGCACTGGCACGATCCACCTCCTGGGTTCAAGCATTCTCCTGCCTTAGCCTCCTGAGTAGCTGGGATTACAGATGCCCACTATCACGCCTGGCTAATTTTTGTATTTTTAGTAGAGACGGGTTCGCCATGTTGGTCCAGTCTGGTCTCGAACTCCTGACCTCAGTTGATCTGCCCTCCTTGGCCTCCCAAAGTGCTGGGATTACAGTTGTGAGTCACGGAGCCCGGCCCGGCTGCCCTTTTTTTTTTTTTTTTGAGACGGAGTCTCGCTCTGTCGCCCAGGCTGGAGTGCAGTGGCCGGATCTCAGCTCACTGCAAGCTCCGCCTCCCGGGTTCCCGCCATTCTCCTGCCTCAGCCTCCCAAGTAGCTGGGACTACAGGCGCCCACCACCTCGCCCGGCTAGTTTTTTTGTAGTTTTAGTAGAGACGGGGTTTCAATGTGTTCGCCAGGATGGTCTCGATCTCCTGACCTCGTGATCCACCCGTCTCGGCCTCCCAAAGTGCTGGGATTACAGGCTTGAGCCACCGCGCCCGGCCTTTTTTTTTTTTTTGAGACACAGTTTCGCTCTTGTTGCCCAGGCTGGAGTGCAATGTAGTGATCTCGGCTCACCACAACCACAACCTCCGCCTCCTTGGTTTAAGCAATTCTCTTGCCTCAGCCTCCCGAGTAGCTGGGATTACAGGCGTGCACCACCGCGCCTGGCCAATTTTGTATTTTTAGGAGAGACGGAGTTTTTCCATGTTGGTCAGGCTGGTCTCGAACTCCTGACCTCAGGAGATCTACCCATCTTGGCCTCCCACAGTGCTGGGATTACAGGCGTGAGCCGCCACTGCGCCCGGCCTTTTTTTTTTTTTTTAGAGAAATATCAAACACATGTAAGACAGAACTTCATAAGGGGCTTCCATGGCCCACTGCCCAGCCATGGCAGGTGCCACCCATGTGCCAAGCTTACACCTCCACAGCCCCACCACAGTATTCGGAAATAAACCGGAGACATCAGAGCCACTGCAGTCATGAATATTTCGTAAGTATAAATGTATACTTTAAAGATTCCTTTCAAAACACAGCCACAACACCATTTGAGTCAGCAATATAAAGCAAGTAAGACTTCTATTTCCATCCCTGCAAGGATGGCTTCATCTACTATCTTAGTTTCTAGATTCAGAGTACAGCCAAGAGGAGATTTCCAATTATATTAGCACTCAAATGAACTCTTACCTACTTACTAACATGGAGTAAGTACAGGCTATTATAATAACCCAGTCAACCAAACATGTGCTTTTCTTTCATGGTAGTAATAGCAGAAGTACTGTGGCACTGACTTCACAACAGGACAGGTAACAAAATATTGAGCTGTACACTGGAGTTCACAGTAGAGGACGGCAGTGCTGGAGGGAACTGCTCCCGCGTCCACTGTCCCTTGATTCAGTGCACTTGCCTATGTGATGTGTGTGAATAACGAACACTCAAAATACAGTATCTTTCAGAGCTCATCCAAAATACAACTTTGGAGAACCGTCTAGCATGATGTTCAGAATTCGGTTTAAAATAATTCAGCAAGTGTGACTGGGGAGATGGGCACAGACATGACAGAGCTGTCCTCACTGGTACAGCTGAAGCAGGTGCCAGCACAGCATTCACAACTGTCCTTGCCACTTCTGTTTGAAGGTGTCCATGATAAAAATTAACAAAACCTACACAACATGAGTGTAATCTAAAAATGTTTGCCTGTTCAGTTAGAAGACCTCAGATTTTTAAAAATGTTTTACTTCTCACAAAAGACTTGCACTTTTTTTTTTTTTTTTAAACTCTGGGTCTTGCTATGTTGCCCAGGCTGGTCTTGAACTCCTGGGGTCAAGCAATCCTCCTCTCTCAGCCTCCTGAGAGGCTGGGAAGACGCTGTCTCTAAAAAAAGGGAAGCTGAAGCTGAAATGGTTAAAGCACAGATGCTTCAGAAGTCACATACTTACCGCCAAGTGCCCAGGCCTGCCTGCCAACCGTCTGCAAACATGAGGGCCAAGTTCAACACCTTCATGATAGCTTCTTTCACAAAGCTGACCTGGAGACCAAAGTCACAGAACACAAACTGTAACTAGGTTTGGACACTGATACCAGCACTTTTACCTATTTTAAATGAATCACAGAAAAAGCTCCTCACTACTGTGACTGCCTTCTATGTATATGGAAGGGTACTAGGCTCTGAACCATGCCCACTTGGGAACAGGCACATGCATTCACTGAATGGAACATACAGGCGGTATTAGCAGTAGAGCCAAACCAACAGAACAAACTGTTAAGACCTTTTCCTGGGATGGCCACTTAAATTCACCAATGAAACTAGGATAAAGAATTCCAATGGTTTTAACACGACGGAATTCCGTCTATTCACATGAAGTGGACATATTATTAACTGCAGACATGATTTTCCAACTGAATCCAAGAGTAACGCAGAGTGAGTGCTGACTATCAAACACGGTTCTCATGTTGCTCTTAGATACAACTTCTATGAATAGGGCACTCCTCCTTGGTTTTTTTTTTGGAGACAAGGTCTTGCTCTGTTACCCAAGCTGGAGTGCAGAGTGCAGTGGTGTGATCACAGTTCATTGCAGCTTCGAACTACTGGCCTCAAACAATGCTCCCACCTCAGCCTCGGAAGTAGCTGGGCCTCCAGGTGTACACCACTGTGTCTGCTAATCTTTTTAATTTTTTGTAAAGACAGAGTCTTCCTATGTTGTCCAGGCTGGTCTTGAACTCTTGGCTTCATAAGATCTGCCCGCCTCAGTTTCCCAAAGTGCTGGGATTATAGGCGTGAGCCACTGTGGCTGGCCTGGGGCATTTGTTTGTAACCTCATTTGATCTGGTTCTTCCTTAAAGAATATTCTACAAGACAGAAGCTTCATCATCATAAAATTCCAAAGCAGGCAGACAGCGCCACTCGCCCAGCAGGGGCCACATCTGCAAGAGACATCTCATGTACCTTTTCTCTCAGCAGACACCGGTCATGGATGGTTGACAGATACCTATAGTGAATTTTAATCAACTGATCTAAATCCTTGGCTTCCTCGACTTGATGTTGAAACTCCAGCCCTGTACTGTGGAGAATCTTGGAAGAGAAAGACAAAAAGCTTAATCAGCAGCCTTGAGGACTTGTGTGCTGCACACAAATCTTCTTTACTAAGCTCTTCTACTTCTCTCAAATTCCTCCTTCAATAATCACATCTAGAAAGTTTCGTAAAGTACCATTCTTTTTTTTTTTTTTTTTTTTGAGACGGAGTCTCGCTCTGTTGCCCAGGCTGGAGTGCAGTGGCCAGATCTCAGCTCACTGCAAGCTCCGCCTCCCGGGTTTACGCCATTCTCCTGCCTCAGCCTCCTCAGTAGCTGGACTACAGGCGCCCGCCACCTCGCCCGCTAGTTTTTTTGTATTTTTTTAGTAGAGAAGGGGTTTCACCGTGTTAGCCAGGATGGTCTCGATCTCCTGACCTCGTGATCCGCCCGTCTTGGCCTCCCAAAGTGCTGGATTACAGGCTGAGCCACTGCGCCCGGCCAAGTACCATTCTTTAAAGGCTGGCTGGATATGCTGGCGTGCTGACCCAAAGAGGAGGCGGGGGTCAGTCCTGTAGCACACCCACTTGCACAGTGAATGAATGAACGCCAAAGTCTGGACTAACAGATTCCCTGGCAGGAAGGTGCAAGTACATTGAACTGTATATAAGACACATTGATTAAAAAAAAAAAAAAAAGCCGGGCGCGGTGGCTCAAGCCTGTAATCCCAGCACTTTGGGAGGCCGAGGCGGGCGGATCACAAGGTCAGGAGATCGAGACCACAGTGAAACCCCGTCTCTACTAAAAATACAAAAAATTAGCCGGGCGCGGTGGCGGGCGCCTGTAGTCCTAGCTACTCAGGAGGCTGAGGCAGGAGAATGGCGTGAACCCAGGAGGCGGAGCTTGCAGTGAGCCAAGATCGCGCCGCTGCACTCCAGCCTGGGCAACAGCGTGAGACTCCGTCTAAAAAAAAAAAAAAAAAAAAAAAAATCAAGCAAATGTGTTACTTTTATACAAATTACAGTGAATTTGTTTCTTAAGTTCCTTTTCTCATACACTGATCTTTCTCTAAAATGAGTATAAGCATACTTCAAATAAAAAACAAACTAAGAAAAAATTTAAACTCTTATCATTTACTCTTAACAATTAGGGGCTTAATGAAGGCCAACCTTGCGAAGGTCAGTAATGCAGTCAGGGGAAACATGGAGCCCCTCTGCCATAGCCTTCCCGTCCAAAACACAGGCTTCAGTGGCTCACTTCACCCAAGCAAGGTGGGTTTCAGAACTCACAGACCAGGTATAAACAGGTCTAAACAGCAATTCAAATGCCAAATGCACACTGTCCTCAATAACACTGCTCTTTTCAGAACTCACAGACCAGGTATAAACAGGTCTAAACAACAATTCAAACCCCAAATGCATACTGTCATCTAATAACAGCGCTCTTGTTCCAATTTCTGAACCCTTCTTTCAAACTTCCTCTAGAACTGGCTATTAGATGTACCAGAAAAACCGTTTCATTTACTTTGTAGTGAGTTACCTCTTGTTTTTTAAGAAAAAAGTCTATCACCTGGCTGCATCTTCCTCCCAAACACCACAGTGGATTTTGGCTGTTACTAAACATTGGAGCCATTTTCTAGGGACAGCTGTCATCACTACTGAACACTAAAGGACTACGCGGCGCGTTCTGAAGGCAATTCCAGAAGAGGAGCTGTGGCTGTGCCTGTCCCCAGGGGCTGCTGGACAGGAGGGACAGCGGCCTCTGGATACACACATTCCGGTATAATTACAAAAACATTCCTCCCACTGCCATGTTATTTTATGATCAAATTTGCTACATGTCCCGTTTTCAGTGTGTAGGCATTTTGTATTTATAAACACATTATGAGAAATTCTCTATGAACAACTGTATAGATAAGGCGATAGCACTGAAGCAGATGGGAGAGGCACAAACCCTGGTCATGATGTAGTTGTGCAAGCTGTTCACGAAATGCATGAGCTTCACTCTTAAGAGGAACATGCGATGAATCTGCTGTCTTACTGGTTCTTTTTGTGGTCCGAACTGAGCAACTGTGTCTTGTTCACGTACAAGGCCTTCTTGAAGTCGTGGTTTTTCCGCAGTACTAACCAGTTCTATAAAAGATGGGAAGAGCACAGTGGACAGAAAGAGCATCAATTCAAGCCCCACTGCACCATGATGCCTGTTTTTGGCAGAAACTCGGAGGGAGGGGCCCTGGTACCACAGAAAGCAATGGCAGGGGTGGCAGGAACCGAACCTCAGTGCCTCTGGAAGAGTGGGGAAAGTTCCCTGTATCACTTTTCCTAACCAAGTTGTTGCATTTCAGATCAACTGTACATACAACTTCCTGATCTTTCTTTCAGGTATTTGACATCCGTAAACCCACTGCTGGAATACGCACCATTTTGGCATTTCTATACACATAAAAAAAGATCGACAACCACCAACCTCTTTTTTTTCTTTTTTCCAGATCTCCGTATGCTTCCCTTCCCCACCAACCTCTTTTATTAAGGGCTAAAATTAAATTAAATTACAATTTATCTGCTGAAAACAAATCTTACCACCAAAAAGTAAAACATCCAGACTATATTTTGCCCACTTTATTTGCAGTAAGAGAAGAAACACTTGATTATAAATTTTTTGACATTCCAAACTTATAACAATGTCCACGGGCCATGGGACCTATGAAACAAAAACACAATTAGAACAGAAATAACCAATTACTTGCATGTTTTAATTTTAGTAGAAAACACTGTTCATACAAATAATATAAGCATATACCTTGTAGCTGAGGGTCAGACCGTCTAAGATATGAACAGGCAGTTTCTTCTTAGCTGTGTCAACATTTTCAAAAGATATAGATAGACTAAAGAAAGAAATTTCAGTTTTAGTTTGTGAAAGCACTATGTCACACAAAAATCCTTTTAAAATAATTAGTATTTACACAATATTCCCCAAAAGATACTGCATTTCATAAAAGAAATGCAAACATTTCAACAAATGTATCTTTTCTAACATATATTCCAGAGCTGAAATTTGGATTTAGAAATAACAGAGAGGGGGAAAGCTTTTACATAATGAGTTTAGTTGTAGAAGAGACACAACAATGGTAGTAATTAGAAAAAAGATGAAGCTGAGGAAGACAGTAAACCTCAGGCAATGGCTGGGAAGATGAAGCCTCTGCTGAGGTTGGGGGTGGGCAGGGGAGGACGAGCAGAACAGCTCGAGGGAGCTTAGCATGCGGTGAGAGTATTGCTTTGAGAGCCCCATCAAGATGGGACGGGGTCTGCTTCTACACCAGAGGTGTTGTGCAGTGCTTCATCCACGAGTTCGAGACAGGTTTGAACATGACTCATATGGGAAAGCAAGCATCTAACATGGACATGAAAATGTCCAAGTGCCAGGCACTATTATGTGTCCTTAGCTCATTTAATCCTCAAAATAGTCCCATCAGTGGTTCCTGAGAAATGTCCTCTTTCACGGTCACAGAGGCACTAAGAGGGGATGCCTGCATGCATATGAAGAAGGTTTAAAGTGGGGAGTGAACTTCCACACCAGAGCTGTCAAAGGGCAGTGTGATTATGAACTGGCTGATTGTGACACAGGCACTAGTCAGAAATTTTAGCTCTCGGCCAGGCGCGGTGGCTCACACCTATAATCCCAGCACTTTGTGAGGCCGAGGCAGGCGGATCACGAGGTTGGATCGAGACCATCCTAGCTAACACGGTGAAACCCCATCTCTAGTAAAAATAAAAAAAATTAGCCGGGCATGGTGGCGGGAGCCAGTAGTTCCAGCTACTCAAGAGGCTGAGGCAGGAGAATGGCCTGAACCCTGGAGGCGAAGCTTGCAGTGAGCCAAGATCGCACCAGTGCACTCCAGCCTGGGCGACAAAGCAAGACTCCGTCTCAAAAAAAAGAATTTTTAGCTCTTAATGGCCTGGTATGCACGCATTCACTCAGTGCTCAGTAGATATCTACCAAATTCAATACTAAGTTAGCTGCTGCACTGAGCAGGCAATAGAAAGCCACTCTCTCTTCCCTCCAGGGACTCCCAGCCCAGCGCAGCACATGAAGATGCAGGAGTGAGCAGACCTCTGCCGGGCCCAAGAATTGGAGAGTATGTCACAGGGAGGCGAGAGGACAGCACGTGCAGACACCAGAAATATTCTGAGATCCCTGAAATACAAAGTGAGATAAGAGAGAGAACGTGGTGTGTATGGTGCAACACATGAGGCTGGGAAAACGGAGCCAGACAGTTAATAGCTTTCTCCCTTCTGAGACAAAGCTTAGTCCATTTGTTAGGAGGCACCCACAGCGAGCACACGCATGAGTGGTGGAAGTCACTGCTGGTGGTCTGAGGTCACTCTGGTGAGGGTCAAGTCTGTTTTGGTGGAAGGCAGTGAGGCTGAGAGAGACAGGCCATCGGGGAGGTCTGAGCCAGTTCTGTGAGGTCAGGGGCATTCTCTAGGAGGCGGGACTGATAAACCTCACGTGTGGGAGCTGAGAGAGAGGAAGCACTGGCTCCAGCCATGTGAAGGAGGCCACCAGACCCTGACAGGCTGGATGGTGGCAACTTTTTTTTGTAGGGACGAGGTCCCACTATGTTGCCCAGACTGGTTGCAAACTCCTGAGCTCAAGCAATCCTCCCAACTTGGCCTCCCAAAGTGCTAGGATTACTGGCATGAGCCACTGCACCTGGCCATATGGTGGCATCTCAACATCTTTTCTTGTTTAGCGGCAGACTCACTTAGCTGGCCTCTGCCTCAATTTTCTTTTTTTTAAAATGGAGTCTCGTTCTTGACGCCCAGGCTGGAATGCAGTGGCGTGATCTTGGCTCACTGCAACCTCTGCCTCCCAGGTTCAAGAGATTCTCCTGCTTCAGCCTCCCAAGTAGCCAGGATTCCAGGTGCCTGCCACCATGCTTTTGGTATTTTTAGTAGAGATGGAGTTTCACCATGTTGGCCAGGCTGGTCTCGAACTCCTGACCTCAGGTGATCCAGCGCCTCTGCCTCCCAAAGTGCTGGGATTACAGGTATGAGCCACCGTGCCTGGCCTCCATTTTCTAATAAGTAAAATAATATTAGTAAAACTCATAGGAATAGTATGAGAATAAAATAATCTGTGTAATTCATAGATGACTTATTGGCACACAGTTCATGTTATACTAATTTAAATAAAGGTGGCTTCCATAATTTACCGTGAACTATCCTCAGGATAACGCTGTCCTACTGCTTCTTGGAGTTGGACATTAAGAAAAGACACATTCTGCCATGTTTCCTTTTCTCTTATTTTATCAAAAATGGATGTGTAGAAGTCATACATGGTATCTCCTCCTTCCATTAAGAAAAAATTTCTCATGGCTTGCAAGTATTCTACCAACCTGCATGGAGATAAAATGAGTGACACAAAGATCTCTGGTGTTCGTAAGGCAGGATTCTGGATCAACACCAGGTTTTGTACCCTGTTTTTAGTGAAACAAGTTTACATTCTACATTTACTAAAATTAGAAATATTAACACCTCTTAGGCCGGGCGCGGTGGCTCAAGCCTGTAATCCCAGCACTTTGGGAGGCCGAGACGGGCGGATCACGAGGTCAGGAGATCGAGACCATCCTGGCTAACACGGTGAAACCCCATCTCTATTAAAAAATACAAAAAACTAGCCGGGCGTGGTGGCGGGCGCCTGTGGTCCCAGCTACTCGGGAGGCTGAGGCAGGAGAATGGTCTAAACCCGGGAGGCGGAGCTTGCAGTGAGCTGAGATCCGGCCACTGCACCCCAGCCTGGGCGACAGAGCAAGACTCTGTCTCAAAAAAAAAAAAAAAAAAAAAAGAAATATTAACACCTCTTAAACCTGTTCCAGTAATAAAAACAGCACAGGTTTTCATCATCACAAAGGTTATCTTCTATAACTAAATGATAGAAAATTGGGCAGTCACAAAAATGTTAACAAAAAAAATCCAAATCCCATCATTCATGGTGGATTTCCATCATTAATATTTAATTTTTGGAATGTTTCTTTCCTGTCTTTTCTATGCGTTAAGAAAACCTAGTTCCTACCATATTATATATCCTGCTTTTAAATTGCCATAATTTTTATGAACTTTACGAAGTTCATACGTGGGTATGTATATGCCATATTTATGGATACGCCATAGTTTCAAGAACTAGTCATCTATCACTAAATAATTTAGTCTTTTTCATTCTGATAACAAACTTTGTAATTTTTGTACAAGCTTTTTCTGTATTTGTTTTGGGAAAGATTCTCAGAAATATAGAATTAAGTTTTACAACATAGTTAAGAAAATATTGATGGTCAATTGATTTCTCTTAAAAAATTGTTTACTGCATATCCATTTCCTACTCTAATAAAAATTGAATTGAAATAGATTTTAAAATAATCTCAACTGTTCAAGTACAATCAACTATTTACTACTTCCAAAATTAAATTACTCTTTTACCTGTAATCTTTTTTTAGAGTTTGCATGAGATTTCCACAGCAATCTAGATACTGCTTGTCAATATGAGGATATAGGCAGGATCTCAGCGTTAACTCAAAAGTCTGGCATGTCACAGATTCCGATGATCTATCCACACATACATCACCACCAGCAAACTTCTCGTGAAAGTCACTCTGCTCCAAATACATCCTTCAAGATAAAAATGTGTCTTCTTTTTATGAGCTGCTGTCAACAGAATTCTCTTAAAACCCTAAAGTCCCGTTTTTACCTTTAGTCTTGAAGTTACCAACTACTACAGAAAGAGAAAAATCTTTCTCCCAAAAATATCCTTTGAGTGAACCAGTCTCTTGAAGTTGCCACTGCCTTCGGCTCAGGTACTAGAGCTGGTCTTCCTAGTGATGAGGGCTGGACACAGCAAATGCTGGCCATCAGACAACCCGGAACTGTGTGGGTATTAATGACTTACTCTAATGGACTAAGTGCTGAAAAGCAGCTTAAGCCCAGGACATACTATACGCCAATGGGGACCCTGACTCAATGAGTGTCGAGGGCCCACTCATGGCCCAGAGTTTCAGCATATTCTGGATAAATGATGACACTTCCCGGGGCCCGAGGGCACAGACAAAAGTGGTACCACATGGTGGCAGGGCCAAGTCTGCAGACTTCCACAAACGACATGGAATCCAAACTATACACCTGAAATAGGGAGGCACAACATCTTGCATTCTGCTTGTTATAAAGGATAGGCAGGGCGCAGTGGCTCACACCTGTAATCCAGCAATTTGGGAGGCCGAGGTGGGCAGATCACCTGAGGTCAGGAGTTTGAGATGGTCAACATGGCGAAACCCTGTCTCTACTAAAATACAAAAATTAGCTGGGCATGGTGGCACATGCCTGTAGTCCCAGGTACTTGGGAGGCCGAGGTAGGAGAATTGCTTAACCTGGGAGGCGAAGGTTGCAGTGAGCCAAGATCACGCCACTACACTCCAGCCTGGGTGATAGAGTGAGGCTCCATCTCAAATGAAAACAAAAACAAAAACAAACAAAAAAAAGAAAGGATAGCCTACATGCGTTTTTGTTTTTAGGCCTGGAAAGCCCTACCTGCCAGAAATAAACAGTTAGCAAACAAGGCACAAATTATGCCATTTCAATTCCTGATAACCCTGCGGGTGTGGATCACCTTGCAAAGTTAATGGCAAGCAGTGGATCATGAACATCATCCAGTTCAAGATGCCTTTCAGCAATGGACTGCATCTTCATTAGGTTCTCCTTGGTTGCCTGTTGCTCAGTAAGAACCTGTGGAGTGGAATCTTCTCCATGTCGAAGACGGGACTGTACAGATTCCAGAAAGAGAGTGTATAAACTTTTTCTTTCTGCATCTAAAACATAAAGAAATACGTAAGGTGAACTATGTTCTGCTTAATATTAACATTAAGTAACAACAACAACAAAAAATATATATATATATATTTCGAGACAGAGTTTCGCTCCTGTTGCCCAGGCTGGAGCGCAATGGTGCGACCCTGGCTCACTGCAACCTCTGCCTCCCGGGTTCAAGCAATTCTCCTGCCTCAGCTTCCCAAGAAGCTGGGATTACAGGCATGTACCATCATGCCCAGCTAATTTTGCTTTTTTTTTTTTTTTTTTTTTTAGTTGAGACAGGGTTTCACCATGTTGGTCAGGCTGGTCTCAAACTCCTGACCTCAAGTGATCCGCCGACCCTGGCCTCCCAAAGTGCTGGGATAACAGGTGTAAGCCACCGTGCCTGGCCCAAGAAATATTAAATAATATCATATCTGGGTGCGGTGGCTTATGCCTGTAATCCCAGCACTTTAGGAAGCTGTGGTGGGTGGATCACTTACGCTCAGGAGTTTGAGACCAGCCTGGACAACATGGTGAAACCCCAGCTTTACAAAAAAATTAGCTGAGTGCAGTGGCATGTGCCTGTGGTCCCAGCTACTTGGGAGGCTGAGGCACGAGAATCGCTTGAGCACTGGGAGGTGAAGGTTGCAATGAGCCAAGATCAAGCCACTGCAGTCCAGTCCAGTTTCGGCAACAGAAGTGACAGCTGTCTTCAAAAAAAAAAAAAAAAAAAATTTCCCTTTCCTCTAGGAAGGTCTATCCCTGTTTCTTTACTTTTACAGTGTAGCAAAACTCAACATTTATATATTCTCTGTTAAACAACTGCAAAGTTCACACAATTACAACGTATAAGCTAATTTTTTTTTCTGAACAGAGTAAGGTCCTAATCAGAACACTTGAAAGTTCCTACGATCCTGCATAACACTACGCTAACACTGGTAAGAGTCAGTCTCACTGGAAAAAACACTTCTGACAGCAGCCCTGGTAAGCTCATTACATAAGAAGGAAATACTCCACAAAGTGAAAATAAGTGTTGCATCTACTTATTTCAAGTAAATACAGTAATATAATTAATATAACATTGAGATGATTGAGATGTATAAATAAGGTCACATCTTTATCTTCCAAGTTTTTTTTTTTTTTTTTTTGAGACGGAGTCTCGCTCTGTCGCCCAGGCTGGAGTGCAGTGGCCAGATCTCAGGTAACTGCAAGCTCCGCCTCCCGGGTTCACGCCATTCTCCTGCCTCAGCCTCCCGAGTAGCTGGGACCACAGGCGCCCGCCATCACGCCCGGCTAATTTTTGCATTTTTAGTAGAGACGGGGTTTCACCATGTTAGCCACAGGATGGTCTCGATCTCCTGACCTCGTGATCCACCCGTCTCGGCCTCCCAAAGTGCTGGGATTACAGGCGTGAGCCACCGTGTCCGGCCCTTCCAAGTCTTTTTAGTCAGTTGATAAAATTTTTTTTTTTTTGAGACGGAGTCTCACTCTGTCACCAGACTGGAGTGCAGTGGTGCGATCTTGGCTCACTGCACTCTCCGACGCCCTGGTTCAAGCGATTCTCCTGCCTCAGCCTCCTGAGTAGCAGGGAATTATAGGCATGCACCACCATGCCCAGCTAATTTTTGTATTTTTAGTAGAGACAGGGTTTTACCATGTTGACCAGGATGGTCTCGATCTCCTGACCTTGAGATCTGTCTGCCTCAGCCTCCCAAAGTGCTGGGATTATAGGATAAAACTTTGAATATATTAAATTGCATCATTTTCTTAAAATTTATGATCGATTCTAAACTGCTCATAAAGAAATTCTTATCAGCCACGGTTCATGGTCCTCAAGGACTAATGCTGCACTGCATTAAGAAATGCCAGAAGGGTTGGGCGTGGTGGCTCACGCCTGTAATCCCAGCACTTTAAAAGGCAGGTGGATCACCTGAAATCAAGAGTTCGAGACCAGCTTGGCCAACATGGTGAAACCCCATCTCTACTAAAAATACAAAAATTAGCTGGGCATGGTGGCTCACGCCTGTAGTCCCAGCTACTGGGGAAGCTGAGGCATGAGAAATCACTTGAGCTCAGGAGGCAGAGGTTGCGGTGAGATCATGCCACTGCACTCCAGCCTGGGGAACAGAGTGAGACTTGGTCTTGAAAAAAATAATGAATAAAATAAAATAAAATGCCAGAGGGAGTGATGCCAGCAAGGCGGCTACCTAGAGACACCTGGTGCGCCTCCCCCAACAGCAAGATAGGACCAAATCAACGAATCAACAGTTAAGACCTGACTGGAGGCCGGGGCCGGTGGCTCACACCTGTAATCCCAACACTCTGGGAGGCTGAGGCGGGTGGGTGACGAGGTCAGGAGATCGAGACCATCCCGGCTAACACGGTGAAACCCCGTCTCTATTAAAAATACAAAAAAATTAGCCGGGCGTGGTAGCGGGTGCCTGTAGTCCCAGCTGCTGGGGAGGCTGAGGCAGGAAAATGGCATGAACCCAGGAGGCCGAGCTTGCAGTGAGCCGAGATCCTACCATTGCACTAGAGCCTGGGTGACAGAGCAAGACTCCATCTCAAAAAAAAAAGATCTGACTGGAGTTGAAGGGCGAGTGCTGGAGCGCAGTGGGGGAGTGTGACAGTGCTGGTGACTGGAGGCCCAGGAGGGCAGCGTGGAGGCTCACAGCCTCCGCAGCCCCATCTTTTCTTCGCAGATCAGGCTGGTCTGGAGTTAAGAAGGACTTCCCATCGTTGGGTAAGGGTAAGCAGAAGAAACCCACCAGCCCCCACAAACACCTACAGTCCTTATCAACAGGAGGATTCCACAGTTCCCACGAGCTCTGAGCCCAGTTTGGAGGCTGCTGGCAATTCACGCAGCTGCCTTGCCCTGGGTTAGGGGCACAAGGTGTGCCTTCCCCACCCACCCCTTTGAGCCAAGCTGTTGCAGCACGGCACCATCTTAAGACCAGAGCTAGGGCCGGGCACGGTGGCTCACACCCGTAATCCCAGCACTCTGGGAGGCTGAGGCGGGTGGATCATGAGGTTAGGAGATTGAGACCATCCTGGCTAACACGGTGAAACCCCGTCTCCACTAAAAAAATACAAAAAACTAGCCGGGCATGGTGGCGGGCACCTGTAGTCCCAGCTACTCAGGAGGCTGAGGCAGGAGAATGGCATGAACCCGGGAAGCAGAGCTTGCACTGAGCCGGGATTGTGCCACTGCACTCCAGCCTGGGCAAAAGAGCGAGACTCTGACTCAAAATAAATAAATAAATAAATAAAGACCAGAGCCATCTCTGGAGCACACCCTCCTCTGGGCCAGTAGCCACTGCACCTCTCCTGCACCCCAGCCACTGGGGCTCCATCCTCATTCCACCAAGGCCACAGGGGTGGTTGAACACCACAAGCCCAGCTATGTGGAGCCTGGGCCCAGGATCGGCTGTGATTCTGGTCCTGCACAGCAGGAAAACCAGCCCCTGCCACTGCACTTCCAGCCAGAGGAACAGTCTGGTAGCCCTGAGAGACCGAACCCACCACTGAGCTGGCCGAACTGCTGTGCCATCTCTAGAGGGTGGGAACAGGCCCCTGAGCTTCCTACCAGCTGACATGCCTCCAGGCTGGTGGAGCAGTTACAGACCTGTGCTCAGGAACTGAGAAACAGCCCCCTAGCACCAACCCCTTGCAGACAGGCCCGGGGCCTACCCAGTGGCCCTGGGCCAGCATTCAGGGTCTGAGAAACAGTTTCAGAGGCTGCCCTGGCAGGCATGTACCTAGGCTTCTTGAGCAGCCTTGCGCTGCATCCATTGCTTAAGAAGCCCCAGAGGCAGCGCCTGGGAGTCACGACCCCAGGTCAGCTGAGCAGCCACAGGCCTGCAAACAGCCCTGTGGTCTGCCCTTGGTGGGCATGTTCTGAGCCAGCTGGCACCCATATCCCAAACCTGAGAAAGAACCTTGAAGACCACCCCCAGTAAAGACACCCTCAGGCCAGCAGAGCAGCTTTCCACCCACATGCTGGGCCTCCGAAGCAGCCTCCTGGGCTGCCACTGGCAGATACATACCTAGGGCTGTCCATAAGCCATGTGACCATGTCCCAGGACTGAAAAAGAGCCCCTTGAACTGTCCAGGCAGACATGCACCCAGGCTACCAAGCAGCCCTGTACCCACGTCCTGGGCCTGAGAAACAGGCCTCAAGTAATCCACCTGCCTTGGCCTCCAAAAGTACTGGGACTGGCCAGGCGTGGTGGCTCACGCCTGTAATGCCAACACGTTGGGAGGCCAAGGCGGGTGGATTGCTTGAGGTTAGGAGTTCGAGACCAGCCTGACCAACGTGATAAAACCCCATCTCTACTAAAAATAAAAAAATGAGCCAGGCGTGGTGGCACATACCTATAATCCCATCTATTCAGGAGGCTGAGGCAAGAGAATCATTTGAACCCAGGAGGCAGAGCTTGCAGTGAGCTGAGAGCATGCCACTGCACTCCAGCCTGGGTAACAGAGCAAGACTCTATCTCAAAAAAAAAAGAAAGAAAAAAGTGCTGGGATTACAGGCATGAGCCACCACGCCCGGCCAGTTGTGCCACTGTTGCCACAAACCCCCTCAGTGTAGGCCACTGAGGCACTTGTAAACATCACTAAAGTGGATTACAACTGAAGAAAGTACATGGAGACTACACTACTGCATTCATCCAGAACCAAGGCCAATGCATCCCACTGAACCCATACCCCAAGACCCATTCACATGAATAACTCTTTACAAAACATACTCCATAAAATTGGAAAAGGTGACTTTCCCACCAGATGTGTAGAAATAAACGTAGAAATACATCAAACATGAAAAAGCAAAGAAAAATGACACCTCCCAAGAAAACCAGTAATTCTCCAGTAAGAGACTACAATGATATAGGAAATGCTGGAAAAATAATTCGGAATTAAAATCTTAAGGAGACTCAGTGAGATACAAGAGAGTACAAATAAACATTCAACAAAATCAGGAAAAGAATGATTTGCATGAGAAATTCAACAGAAAGAAATGTTTAACACCCAAGCAAATTTTACAGTGAAAGAATTCAATGAATGAGGCAGGGCACGGTGGCTCACGCCTGTAATCCCAGCACTTTGGGAGGCCAAGGCGGGTGGATCACCTGAGTTCAGGAGTTCGAGATCAACCCGGCCAACGTGGTGAAACCCCATCTCTACTAAAAACACAAAAAATTAGCCGGGTGTGGTGGCAGGTGCCTGTAACCCCAGCTACCCAGGAGGCTGAGGCAGGAGAATCACTTGAGCCAGGGAGGCAGAGCTTGCAGTAGCCAGAATGCACCACTGCACTCCAGCCTGGGTGATGGGAGTAAAACCCTGTCTCCGAAAAGAAAAAAGGGGGGAGGGTGGACAAATGATCTCAACAGACATTTCTCCAAAGAAGTCATACAAATGGCCCAGAAATAGATGAAAAAATGCTCAGCATCACTAATTATTAGGGAAAATGCAAATCAAAACCACAATGAGTTATCATTTCACCCAGTCAGGATGGCTACTTATCACGAAAACAAAAAACAACAAATGCTGGTGAGGACGTGGAGAAAAGGGAGCTCTCACACAATGTTGGTGGGAATGTAAACTAGTACAGATACTATGGAGAACAGTTTGGAGGTTCCTCAAAAAACTACAAATAGAACTACTATATGATACAGCAATCCCACTAGTGGGCATTTATCCAAAGGAAAGGACATCAGGACATCAAAGAGACATCTGCACCCCATGTTTACTGCAGCAGTCTTCACACAGCCAAGACACGGAATCAACCTAGGTGCCCAACAACAGATGAATGGGTAAAAAAACTGTGGTACATGTATATATATATAACTCAAAGATAAAAAAGAATGAATCTTGCTGTTTGCAGCAACACTGATGGAAATGGTGGACATTATGTTAAGTGAAATAAGCCAGGAACAGAAAGTTAAACACTGCTTGTTCTCACTCATGTGGCAGCTAAAAAATGTTGATCTCATATTAGTAAAAAGCAGAGCAGGATACCAGATGCTGGATTTTGTAGGGGGAAGGGAGGAAGAGGCAGATATTTGTTAAAGGACACAAATAGCTAGCTGGAAGGAGTAGCTCCAGTGCTCTGTATCACTATGGGATGATGACAGTTAATAATGTATTACAGAGTTGCACACAGCAAAGAGGACGATACTGAATGTCCCAACATAAAGAAGTCGTAAATGTTTGAGATGATGGAAATGCTAATCATCCCGATCTGATCACTGTATACGTATCAAAACATCACTATGTACCCCAAGAATATGTACAATTATCATGTCAATTTATAAAAATAAGAAAAGAAATGGCAGGGAATTACTTTTTAAAGTTCCAGTCCTAAGGAATCCGGAGTGAGGAAAATGCATGTGGAACTTACCGTCGCTGCCTTTTCAAACACAGCACTGAAAGTTTTCAATGAAGACAGTCTTTTAAAAAATCAAGAGCAGCATGATTATTAATTCAACCATGATGATAATTACCACTGACATAAGAGGATTCGATGACTTGCAAACTACAAAATAATTAGGTATCAGGATGACAAGAGCGAGTAGGGTCAGGTGTCCCAACACCGAGGGACACACAGGAAGACAGAACAGGTACCTCTGGCTCCTGCCTGGCAGGTGGTGCTCTCCGCACACTGCAGGTTCTTCAGCAGCTGCATCGACTTGCCAGCCATTATGATCTGCTTCAGGACAGGTTTGAGGAAGGACACCATGGTGTGCTGCCTGCTGGAGGGCCCCTGGTCACTGCCGGAACTCGCACTAGCATTATCACTCATTTTTTCTTCATTTTCTGTCTTTTCTGATACACTATATAGCGTGTAAGTTGCATACCAGAAGTCTCTGTGATTAACTGGAACATTTTTGTTTCTAAAGAGATTCAAAAGAATTTTAAACTCTTATTTCTCTTCCTTAAAAAACAGCATACTTGTTCTAGTTTGTTGTCCAGACATTACAAAACATAATATTAATTATTAGTAAATGGAAGCAATCTTTAGGCAAAATGGGGCAGTTTTAATCTCAGCTCAGTTTAAAGAGAAAAGGGAATAAATAGTTGGAATGGTATAAGTAAAATTTAAGTAAGCAGAAATAGTTTCTTGAACTGAAATTATTTAAAATATGACTAATTTGGTCCTCTTTAGAAGTAGAATAAAAGTTTACCCATTTACCATCTCCTGTGAAACTAATTTGCAGACTTCTCTATCATTTTCCCTACAAAGATTCTTAACTGGACTACTTTTAACAATAAAATGATGGTCAATCATCACTCTAGAAGAACAGTCAGAGTCCCACTTGCCACAAAAATTCTCACATTAGATTGATGAATCAGAACACAGTGACAGACATGAGACTGAGTTGAAGGAAGGGTCAGTTCACTCACGTGAGCATTGCATACATATTGCTACCCTTCCAGAACACCAAGGACTTAAAATTATCCTTCCCGATGAGTTCAATTGATAGCTATCAATAGAAACCACATATCTAAATATACCACATAATTTAAAATTGGGTTAAAAGAGCACAAATAGCTCTACATTGTTTGTATGATTCCGTTCAGAAAAATCAATTAACTGAAGGGAAACTGTCATAAATGTAATAAGATTTTCCTTAATTGTTTTGTTAAATATTATACTAAGGTAAAAAATCAGTAGATAATTCAGAGAAATAAACATATTAGAGGCATATTTTATAATTTTCTGTTATCTCTTTACTGATAACTTACAATGAAAATAGCTCAAACCATCTAATATCCCCTAAACTCATTTTACAGGAAGCAGTGTTTACTAGCTCGCCATAAATTTACTATCATCCAAAAATACAGTTTGCTTAAGAAAAGTTGTGGAGTGACAAAACTTGGACAAAGATATTTTTAATCAGCTGGTATCACTGACATCTTCCATAAAAATGAAATAGAATTTGCCTATGATGACAAGTTCTGTGATATGAACTGTGCTCCCTCAGTACCATCTGAAACTAATGAAAGCATTCGACTTTCACAGGGAGGAAACTGGTGATGGCAGCCCCCAGTGACCCTGTGCTCTGCTGCAGCTCACCTCTGGATGATGAACTCCCTGGCGCCATCCCACAGGTGCCCATGCACGATCCACTCGTCCACCGTCTGCAGGTAAGGCCGTACTGTTTCCACCCAGAGAGAGAACAGCAGGGAGACCTGAGGCAGAGAGGTGCACGGTCAGCTCTTGGGGTTCCCTGGTCACTAGAATAAAAGGAGGTTTAAACATTTCTGAATTGCCTTTAAAAAAGTGATCGGATTTCTACATTTTTTGGGGGCACAAAGAAATTAAAAATCCAAAAACATACACTATAAAATCCTTATGAAAAACTCACCTAAATGCCGGGCGCGGTGGCTCATGCCTGTGATCCCAGCACTCTGGGTGGTAGAGGTGGGCGGATCACCTGAGGTAAGAGATCGAGACCATCCTGGCCAACATAGTGAAACCCCCTCTCTATTAAAAATACAAAAATTAGCTGGGCATGGTAACACGCGCCTGTAGTACTAGCTACTCAGGAGGCTGAGGCAGAAGAATCACTTGAATCTGGCTGGCGGAGGTTGCAGTGAGCCAAGATCCCGCCACTACACTCCAGCCTGGCGACAGAGTGCCACTCTGTCTCAAAAAAAAAGAAAAGCTCACCTAAATATGGGATGATCATATTGTTTGTAGTGCAGACTGGGAAACTTGAGAGTGAAAATGACACAGAGGCAGCAGGTGTATCCTGAGACAGCCCAGGCAAGCGAACAAGGTTTCCCTATCGAAATCCTATTACTAGCAAAGCATCCATTAAGATTGAGGAAACTGGCTGGGCATGGTGGCTTACTCCTGTAATCCCAGCACTTTGGGAGGCTGAGGTGGGCAGATCACAAGGTCAGGAGTTTGAGACCAGCCCGGCCAATATGGTGAAACCCCGTCTCTATTAAAAAAATACAGCTGGGCATGGTGGCTCATGCCTGTAATCCCAGCACTTTGGGAGGCCGAGGTGGGCGGATCAGGAGATCAGGAGTTCAAGACCAGCCCGGCCAAAATGGTGAAACCCCGTCCCTATTAAAAATACAAAAATTAGATGGGCATGGTGGCAGGTGCCTGTGATCCCAGTTACTCAGGAGGCTGAGGCAGGAGAATAGTTTGAACCCAGAAGGTGGAGGTTGCAGTGAGCCAAGATTGCGCCATTGCACTCCAGCCTGGGCAACAGGGCGAGACTCCATTTCAAACAACAACAACAAAAAAATCCAAAATTTTACTGGGCATGGTGATGTGCACCTGTAGTCCCAGCTACTCGGGGGGCTGAGGCAGAAGAATCGCTTGAACGCAGGAGGTGGAGGCTGCAGTGAGCCGAGATTGCACCATGGACTCTAGCCTGGGCAACAGAGTGAGACTCCGTCAAAAAAAAAAAAAAAAAAAAAAGGAGTGAGGAAATTACTTCATTCCACTAGTTCTCAGAGTACAAAAATGGCAGTGCTGAGAGAAAATCAACCTCCTTTTTACTGAAATGCAATATTGGCTGGGCACATGGCTCACGCCTGTAGTCCCAGCACTTTGGGAGGCCGAAGCAGGTAGATTGCCTGAGCTCAAGAGTTCAAGACCAGCCTGGGCAACATGATGAAACCCCATCTCTAGTAAAATACAAAAAAACAAAAAAAATTAGCTGGGCGTGGTGGTGTGCATCTGTAGTCCCAGCTACTCGGGAGCCTGAGGCAGGAGAATCACTTGAACCTGGAAGGTGGAGGTTGCAGTGAGCCGAGATTGTGCCACTGCACTCCAGCCTGGGGACAAAGCAAAACTATGTCTTAGAAAAAAGAAAAGAGGCCGGGCGCGGTGGCTCAAGCCTGTAATCCCAGCACTTTGGGAGGCCGAGATGGGTGGATCACGAGGTCAGGAGATCGAGACCATCCTGGCTAACACGGTGAAACCCCGTCTCTACTAAAAAAAATACAAAAAACTAGCGGGGCGAGGTGGCGGGCGCCTGTAGTCCCAGCTACTCGGGAGGCTGAGGCAGGAGAATCGCGTAAACCCGGGAGGTGGAGCTTGCAGTGAACCGAGATCCGGCCACTGCACTCCAGCCCGGGCTACAGAGCGAGACTCCGTCTCAAAAAAATAAATAAATAAAAATAAAAAAAAGAAAAAAGAAAAGAAAGGAAATGCGGTATTAAATTGGTGTGAAAAAAAGTTATACCAACAAACTAGAAAACAGACCTAATATACATACCCAAGTAAGACTGTAGCATTCTAAATTACAACCTCTAGTTAGATTTTAATTTTTTTTTTTTTTTTTTTTTTGAGACGGAGTCTCGCTCTGTCCCCCAGGCTGGAGTGCAGTGGCCAGATCTCAGCTCACTGCAAGCTCCGCCTCCCGGGTTTACGCCATTCTCCTGCCTCAGCCTCCCGAGTAGCTGGGACTACAGGCGTCTGCCACCTCGCCGGGCTAATTTCTTGTATTTTTTAGTAGAGACGGGGTTTCACCGTGTTAGCCGGGATGGTCTCGATCTCCTGACCTTGTGATCCGCCCGTCTCAGCCTCCCAAAGTGCTGGGATTATAGGCTTGAGCCACCGCGCTCAGCCCAGATTTTAATTTTTAAATCTACATACTGTTTGAGACAGAGTCTTGTTCTGTTACCCAAGCTGGAGTACAGTGGCGCAAACATGGCTCACTGCAGCCTCGACCTTCCACACTCACTTTCTTCCTGCCTTAGCCTCTCGAGTACCTGGGACCGTAAGCACGTGCCTCCAGAGCTGGCTGTGTTTTTTGAGATGGAGTCTTCCTCTATTGCCCAGGCTGCAGTGTAGTGGTGTGATCTCAGCTCACTGCAACCTCCCGGGTTCAAGCGATTCTCCTGCCTCAGCCTCCTGAGTAGCTGGGCCTACACGTGTTCACCACCACGCTAGGCTAATGTTTGCATTTTCAGTAGAGACGGAGTTGCACCATGTTGGCTAGGCTGGTCTCGAATTCCTGGTGTCAGCACACCTGGCTACTTTAACAATTTTTTGTAAAGACAGGGTCTCTCAGTATGTTGACCAGGCTGGTCTCAAATTCCTAGGCTCAAGTGATCCTCTCAGCTCAGACTCCTACGTAGCTGGGACTACTGGCGTGAGCCACTATGCCTGGCCTAGATTTGTATTTTTAAAAATACAATATAAAATATATAACATAATATTTATCATCTTAACTATATATTTTTTAAAAATTTAATTTAACTTATTTTTTAAAGACAGGGCCTCACTATGTTGCCCAGGCAAGTCTCAAACTCCTGGGCTCAAGCAATCCTCCCGCCTTGGCCTCCCAAAGTGTTGGGATTACAGGCATGAGTCACTTTGCCTGACCCTCGCCATTTTTAAGTTTAGAGGTTTTAAGTACATTCACATATTTGTGACAAATCTCCAGAACGTTTTCATGTTGTAAAACTGAAACTCTGTACCCATTCAACAACAGCTCCCCATGCCCCAGCCCTTGGTAACCAGCATTCCACTTTGTTTCTGTGACTGTGTCTACTTCAGATATCTCACATAATGTTAGTTACATGTTAGTTTTTATTTAAGAAAGCGTTATTGTAAATATCTATACACATCAGGTAGGTATTTCTCACATCTTGTTTTGTCCTTGCCTCATCCTTCTGAGGATCTTGGCAAGTAGAGCTGAAAAGCCAGTTTCCTATAGCCTCAAATTTGGAAGCCAATTTAAAAACTCTGAACTGTCCAACGAGTCACCATTCAAGTGTCATTTAACAAAGAACTACGATCAGCTGTCTACCACTCCTGTGCCGTGCAGAATGGAGTCACACACTTCAGGCAGAAGTCTCACATACGGTTTGCTCAGAGGCTTCTCCAACATCGTCATATTCAAGAATGGCCTTGTACAGGGTGTTGAGCAGGTGAGAGGCCCGGACAACATTTCGAGTATCAGGTGGAACTTCTGCTACTCCAGTACTAAACACTTTGTGCAGAACCTTGAGCTGAGCCAATCGAGGTGCCAACTTGTCCACCACTATTGCAAGAGTTATTGTAGCATCTGCAAATTTCAACAAATCAAACTCAATAGCAAGAAAAATACACGCATCTAAAACGTGACACAAATGCTGGCAAATCACCAGGCTTATGGACAGGCAGGGCAAAATGGAGGATGGTGAATTTTGATCTCACATCACAAGGACCTAATTTCCCTAAGGAAGAACTCCTGCAAGTCACGGAGAAAAAGAAAACTCAGCAGAAAACTAACATATAAAGCAACTGACAGTTCACAGAAAAGGAAAGATAAGTGATTCTAGAACATACAGAAAGTCACTTGACCTTACTTAAAAAACTACGCCAGGTAAAACAGAACACCTCCAACGGGCTGATGTTACAGTGAGGGGTGAGAGAGGCTGTGCCTACAAAGGGCTGCAGAAGCAAGGTCCTGCGAGGTGGTGGCACAGCTGTGACCTTAACATGGAAGTGGCCATGTGGAGCTCGACAGGTGATAAAAAGACCCGGAACCATACACGAAGATACCACACCCACCCCTGCTCAAAGCAAGTTGCAAGTTCCTGCAATGCTGGAGAAGCCGTGTCAGGTCTGCAGTTTGGCTAATGTGCTGTGCCAATGTCAGTTTCCTAGTTTTGATTATGTACTGTCACTACGTGAGGTTTTCCCACTGGGGGAAGCAAAGTCATGGGAACACAGGGCCTCTCTGTACCATTTTTTGTGGTAGTTCAAAATAAAAGTTAAGGGGAAAAAAGCTACATGGGTTGCTATTTTACAGCTGTCATACTGGTGAAGACCAAAACCTCTGATAACACACAGATGGCAAGAGTGTGAGGAAACAGGTATTCATCTACATGGCTCACAAGAGTATAAATCTATTTACCTGCACCTCCCCATAAAGTGGCAAAACTTAGGAAAATCAACATGACCCCGCAATTCCATTTATAAGAACCTACCCCACATGGTTGGATGTGGTATAATCCCAGCTAACACCTGTAATCCCAGCATTTCGAGAGGCCAACGTGGGCGGATCACCTAAGGCCAGGAGTTATAGGCCAGCCTGGTCAACATGGTGAAAGACTGTCTCTACTGAAAATACAAAAATTAGCTAGGGATGGTGGCAGGTACTTGTAATCACAGTTACTCGGGAGGCTGAGGCGGGAAAATCGCTTGAACCCAGGAGGCGGAGCTTGCAGTGAGCCAAGATCCCGCCACTGCACTCCAGCCTGGGTGACAGAGGGAGCCTTCATCTCAAAAAAAAAAAAAAAAGAACCTACCCTACAGATAACTCACTGCCTGTGTACGATTACGGATATGTAGAAGTGATTATCACTGCAGCACTGCTAACAATAGCAAAAGCCTGGGAAGAACCTAAATCCATTAAGGGGACTGGGCTATAATACAACCATATGATGAAACACTCAATCTGTAAAAAGGAAAATAGAAGCTCTTCACATTTGCGTGGTATTATCCTCAAAATTTAAATCAGAAAAATTTGAAGAGAGCAGTGTAATGACTGCTGGGTATGCGTATATGTATATGTACTGCTTGTGTATGTTCAAACTCTTTCTGGGAGGATGCGTAAGAAGCTGAGGACCTGGCTGTCTCTGGAGAGGAGAACTGACTGGCTGGGGTACTGGTGCAGGAAGAATAATTTAGATTTTTCACTCTAAATCCTCTGTAGATTTTTGATTTTTAGAGATATGAATGATTTAAAAATACAAATTTAAAATAATTTTAAAAATGAAGCATTCACGAGAACTACTTATTTGCTAGGCAACTTTCAATCTTACATGATGAAAAATCTAAATGGCATTCAAATTATAAGTTACGTGTAGCACGAGTAAAGATGAGGAACATTTAATACCATTATTGATGATGCACTTCTCGATTTCTGCAAGTTCCTCTTTGAAACTAATGAAATATTTGTACAGGGCCCACATGAAAGCCTGGTAGGTTCTAAAGGGGGCTTCAGTTGACTTCTTAGGAACAGACCCACTTCCAGGCAGCATGCTCTCGGAACTGTGTCCCATGACTTCATCAATGAACTGCTGGAGTCGAAACACAACCTGGCCATATGCTGCTATTTGTTCCAGCACAGATCGTAAACAGCTCTACAACAGAAGCAAACTGCAATTACTCAAAGGTGGTCTTCTGTAAACTTTCAAATTCATTTCCCTCTCGCTGTAAAATATTTCCTTTGCAATTATTTTAAACAGTATGTTTAGTAGAACACAAAGTAATAAAATGATTAATATTTAGGTTTATACGCAAAGGAAAAAGAGCAATAATTTCAATAGACTAGAGAATTCTGGCTTATATATATATATATATATTTTTTTTTTTTGAGATGGAGTCTTGCTCTGTCACCCAGGCTGGAGTGCAGTGGCCGGATCTCAGCTCACTGCAAGCTCCGCCTCCCGGGTTCACGCCATTCTCCTGCCTCAGCCTCCCGAGTAGCTGGGACTATATAGGCGCCCGCCACCACGCCCGGCTGGTTTTTTGTATTTTTTAGTAGAGACGGGGTTTCACCGTGTTAGCCAGGATGGTCTCGATCTCCTGACCTTGTGATCCGCCCGTCTCAGCCTCCCAAAGTGCTGGGATTACAGGCGTGAGCCACCGCGCCCGGCCCAGAATTCTGGCTTATATTTTAAAAAAACATACATAAGGTAAATGTACTTAAAGCAAAAAAAAAAAATTACAGTATATAACTTTCACAATACAGAATGACAGAATTAAAAGCACAAAATGCAAATTGAAATTAAATATGTCCAGCCAGGCGTGGTGGCTCACGCCTGTAATCCCAGCACTTTGGGAGGCCGAGGCCGGCGGATCATGGGATCAGGAGTTCGAGACCAGCCTGGCCAACATAGTGAACTACCGTCTCTACTAAAAATACCAAAAATTAGCCGGGCCTAGTGGCGGCGCCTGTAGTCCCAGCTACTTGGGAGGCTGAGGCAGGAGAATGGCTTGAACCCGGGAGGCAGAGCTTGCAGTGAGTGGAGATCGTGCCATTGCACTCCAGCCTGGGTGACAGAGCGAGACTCCGTCTCAAAAGAAAAAAAGAGGCCGGGCGTAATCCCAGCACTTTGGAAAGCAGAGGCGGGTGGATCATGAGGTCAGGAGTTCTAGACAAGCCTGGCCTATGTGGAGAAACCCTGTCTCTACTAAAAATACAAAAATTAGCTGGGTGTGGTGACACACACCTGTAGTCCCAGCTACTCAGGAGGCTGAGGCAGGAGAATGGCTTGAACCCGGGAGGTGGAGGCTGCAGTGAGCAGAAATCATGCCACTGCACTCCAGCCTCAGCGACAGAGTGAGACTCTGTCTCAAAAAAAAAAAAAAAAAAAAAAAAAAGAAATTAAATATGTCCTAAACAATATTAAGGAACTCTCTAAGTACTGTAAAGATGCACAACTCAATTTTTCTTTCTGGATATTAAATATTTAAAACTTTTTTTTCCATGTGAGGAAGCAAGAATGAGTTCAATAGTAATTTTAATATTGTAAAATGTTCTAAAATTATCAGTTTACATAAATCCTATTTCTTAAATTACCATAAATACAAATAACTTACATGTGTTAAATGAGTTACTATAATATTGTTTCTCACAGTTACCTTCCCATCTATCAACTGAAATATAAAGAGCTTTTTCACTCCTGAAAGTAACCTGAAATGAGACAAAAAAAAGACGAGTGTACTTTAAGTCTAGAAAAATATTCACGATACTATGCCCAGGGCATTTTTTTTTTGACAGGGTCTCACTTCGTCACCCACCCAGGCTGGAGTGCAGCAGCATGATCACAGCTCACTGCAGCCACAACCTCCTGGATTCCAGTGATTCTGCAGCCTCAGCCTCCCCAGTAGCTGGCACTACAGGTGCGTGTCACCATGCCTGGCTATTTCCTGCATTTTTTGTAGAGATGGGGTTTCACCATGTTGCCAGGCTGGTCTTGAACTCCTGAGCTCACGTGATCCACCCACCTTGGCCTCCCACAGTGCTGGGTCTACAGGTGTGAGCCACCATGCCCCACCTCAGGAAATTTTTATTATTCAGAATTAGGGGACAAAAAGGTCAGATAATAAGAAAATGGAAGACATCAATCTTTCCATCTGACTACCTTAAGACTCAAGATATTTCAACATCTTAGAGAGAAGTCCAAAACATGTTGTCGGCCGGCGCGGTGGCTCACGCCTGTAATCCCAGCGCTTTGGGAGGCCGAGGCGGGCGGATCACAAGGTCAGGAGATCGAGACCACGGTGAAACCCCGTCTCTACTAAAAATACAAAAAATTAGCCGGGCGCGGTTGTGGGCGCCTGTAGTCCCAGCTACTCGGGAGGCTGAGGCAGGAGAATGGCGTGAACCCGGGAGGCGGAGCTTGCAGTGAGCCGAGATCGCGCCACTGCACTCCAGCCTGGGCGACAGAGCGAGACTCCGTCTCAAAAACAAAACAAAACAAAACATGTTGTCAAAGCATCTCCCCCATATACTTGATGACCCAAAAAGATCTTCCTATTTCTAAGAATGCGAGCATGTCAATATCATAGTTTATGGTGAGAGCACCAGGACCTGGAATTTCAGTAGTAACCACCATGGGCTGCATTAGATTCCTGGCTTCTAGGTACAGGCACAGGCCCTCATTGATATATTCTGCCTATTAAGAATAATCAGAAGCTGCCGGCACGGTGGCTCACACCTGTAATCCCAGCACTTTGGGGGGCCAAGGCGGGTGGATCACAAGGTAAGGGGATCTAGACCATCCTGGCTAACACAGTGAAACCCTGTCTCTACTAAAAAAAATACCAAAAATTAGCCGGGCGTGGTGGTGGGTTCCTGTTGTCCTGGCTACTTGGATGGCTGAGGCAGGAGAATGAAGTCAACCTGGGAGGCGGAGCTTGCAGTGAGCTGAAATGGAGCCACTGCACTCCAGTCGGGGCAACAGAGCGAGACTTTGTCTCAAAAAAAAAAAAAAAAAAGTCAGTAGGAAATCTTGCTTTGAACTCAGGTGTTAAAAGAAGTGTTGGGGCCGGGCGTGGTGGCTCAAGCCTGTAATCCCAGCACTTTGGGAGGCCGAGACGGGCGGATCACGAGGTCAGGAGATCGAGACCATCCTAGCTAACACGGTGAAACCCCGTGTCTACTAAAAAATACAAAAAACCAGCTGGGCGAGGTGCCGGGCGCCTGTAGTCCCAGCTACTCGAGAGGCTGAGGCAGGAGAATGGCGTAAACCCGGGAGGTGGAGCTTGCAGTGAGCTGAGATCTAGCCACTGCACTCCAGCCTGGGCAACAAAGCGAGACTCTGTCTCAAAAAAAAAAAAAAAAAAAGAAATGTTGGACTAATCTACGTAAATCATATGCTAAATTATTTAAAATGAAAAAGAAGTGAATATATCAAACTCTCTCAATCTCCACAGTCAAATCTGGTCTGAACTGCACACCTAACAGTCCGTTTCTAGTCTGCATGTGAAAATGCTTGAACAGTTTCCTTTCATAAAAGTTTTGCTTCTCAGTAATCAAGCCTCATAAAGACTATTAATTAAGTGAATATATCTTACCATAGGGTTTCCCGAATAACCTGAGTCTCAGTAACCAAAACCCTGTCATCTGGAACATACAATGGATCACTGCTGTACAAGTGCTGGTCCCTATAAGACAGCAAACATAAATGTCAATAGAAAGGTTTCTAACTAAGTACATAACTTATCTCAAAGAATATTCGCAATTTAGTGCTAACTAGTCATCAATTAGCAAGTACATATAATAAATGGCTTAAATACCCCCTATATTGGCCGGGCGTGGTGGCTCAAGCCTGTAATCCCAGCACTTTGGGAGGCCGAGACAGGCGGATCACGAGGTCAGGAGATCGAGACCATCCTGGCTGACACGGTGAAACCCCATCTCTACTAAAAAATAAGAAAACTTAGCCGGGCGAGGTGGTGGGCGCCTGTAGTCCCAGCTACTCGGGAGGCTGAGGCAGGAGAATGGCGTAAACCCGGGAGGCGGAGCTTGCAGTGAGCTGAGATCTGGCCACTGCACTCCAGCCTGGGCAGCAGAGCGAGACTCCGTCTCAAAAAAAAAAAAAAAAAAAAAATTAGTTGGGTGAGGTCAAGACTGCAATGAGCCAAGATCTCACTACTGCATTGCAGTCTGAGCAACTACAGTGAGACTCTGTCTCCAAAAACAAAGAAAAAAAAAGAATTCTCAAAACGAAAACAAGTTTAAATTTCAGGGAAGAACTTGATTTAAGTCACAAATCAAAGCCAAATGTCTAAACATCAAAGTTTCTTCTATCATCATATTAAATGAAAACTTTAGCTTCTTACCAGACAGCAGCTAAATTGGAGTGCAAATGTAAACTATGAGGAAACTGGGAGGGCCGGCTGTCCAATACTGATGGACCACATGATGTTCCAGCCAGCTTCGGTCATCTGGCTCATCTGCTTGAAAGAAATGTAATCAGTTTGAGTTAACAACAACAACAAAATACTGGGTCAGTATATCTGGACTTACAGCTCCATTCAAACGTATAGTTGAAAATGACTTTTTTAAAATAACAGCTACCTAACATTAATGTATTATGATCATTTATTTTAAACCACATTTACCAGCTGGGTTCTATGGCTCACACATATAATCCCAGCCCTTTGGGAAGCCAGGGCAGGATGATCACTTGGGTCCAGGAGTTCAAGACCAGCCTGGTCAACAAAGTATGACCCCCACTCTACCAAAAAAAGCAAAAAAATTAGCCAGGGATGGTGGCATGTGCTCGTTCTCGGGAGTCTGACATGGGAGGACTGGCTGAGCCAGGAGGTTGAGGCTGCAGTGAGCTGAGATCACGCCACTGCGCTCCAGCTTGGGTGACACAGTGAGACCCTATCTCAAAAAACAAAGTAAAATAAAATAAAACCACACATATAGAAACACATACTAACTTAATTAATGTAATTGACTAGAAAGTAAAAAAAAAAAAATTGCCACATACATAAAAAGATACAAATGGTGTATGTTAATCGTCCCATAACCATTAAGGAAATTGAAACGGTAACCGAAGACCTTCCCAACCACTCCCAAAGCCTCGGGACTGGTGCTACATTTTTTTTTTTTTTTTTTTTTTTTTTTGAGGCGGAGTCTTGCGCTGTTGCCCGGGCTGGAGTGCAGTGGCCGGATCTCAGCTCACTGCAAGCTCCGCCTCCCGGGTTTACGCCATTCTCCGGCTCAGCCCCCGAGTAACTGGGATTACAGGCGCCGCCAACTCACCCGGCTAGTTTTTTGTATTTTTTAGTAGAGACGGGGTTTCACCGTGTTCGCCCAGGATGGTCTCGATCTCCCTGACCTCGTGTCCACCCGCCTCGGCCTCCAAAGTGCCTGGGATTACAGGCTTGAGCACCGCGCCCGGCTTGGTGCTAAATTTTGAAGGATTAGATAACCTCTATCATATACACAGTTATGTGAAAAAGCCACAAAAAGAGAAAGCCACTAACATTTTATGAGGCTAATATAACAGTGATGCTAAAACTAGATAAAGGCATGATAAATACAATTCATCAAAGAATAAAGATGAAAAATCCTACATTAAAAAAGAGCTAACCTCCTGGGTTCGGTGGCTCACACCTGCAATCCCAGGCTGGACTGGTCTCAAACACAGTGAAACCTCATCTCTACGAAAAAGTAAACAAGTTAGCTGGGTGTGGTGGCTGCCACCAGAAGTTCCAGCTTCTTAGGAGGCTGAGGTGGGAGGATACCTTGAGCCCAGGAAGTTGAGGCTGGAGTGAGCTGTGATCATACTACCGCACTCCAACCTGGGTAACAGAGCAGGACCCTGTCTTAAAAAAAAAAAAAAAGTGAATCGAAATTGAACCCAATCTAATAATGTACAAAAAATAACATGTCAAGCAAGTTTAGATGAAGAATTCAAGGATAATTCAATATCGGAAAGTCTATCACTGTATTATTAGGATAAAAGAGAAAAGTTATGAGATTATCTCACAGATAAATAATAGCATTTAATAAAAATTCAACATTTATTATTATTAAAGACTTCTAGAAGAAAAAAGGGATAGAAGGAAATTGTCTTTTTTTTTTTTTTTTTTTCACACAGAGTTTCGCTCTTGTTGGCAAGAGCGCAATGGCACAATCTCGGCTCACTGCAACCTCTGCCTCCCGGGTCCAAGCGATTCTCCTGCCTCAGCCTCCCGAGTAGCTGGGATTACAGGCATGTGCCACCACGCCCGGCTAATTTTGTATTTTTTTTTTTCTGTAGAGATGGGGTTTCTCCATGTTGGTCAAGCTGGTCTCCAATCCCGACCTCAGGTGATTCGCCCACCTCGCCTCCCAAAGTGCTGGGATTACAGGCGTGAGCCACCGTGCCCGGCCGAAATTGTCTTAATTTGATAAAGGCCACATACCCTGAACTGATACCAAACAACCATCACACTTAACGGAGGAGTTTCAGGTATAACCCCCCTTACGATGAGACCGGAGTTGTCCAGGAAGCCCACTCCTATGAGCTGTTGCTTCGCTACGGACTAGTAGCGGCTGGGCTGGTAGGCCAGAAAAGAGATTTGATCATCATGTCACAGAGAAGATACAGGCATAGAACTAGCACGAAGAGATAAAACCATCAATATTTGCAGATGATACTAACGATCTATATAAGAAACCAAATGGAATCAACTATTATAATTAATATGAGAATTCAGCAAAAACGGTGCATATAAGGACAACTTACAGAAACCAGTATTATTTTCTTTTACATTAGGAATAAAGAGGCATCATTCACAAAAATAAAAACTATAATGTATGTAGAAATTAATAAATGAAACTCGAGATCATTTAAAAAAAAAATCCAAACTCTAGTAAAAGATAAAAAATTATGATAAATGTAGCTATTATTATGTTAAGGCAATCAAGCCTCCCCAAATTAGATGTATAAATTCTACTGCAATCCCAATAAAAACTCAGCTGGATTGTTTTTAAATTTTTTATTATTTTGAGATAAAGTTTTGTTCTTGTTGCCCGGGCTGGGGTGCAATGGGTGTGATCTTGGCTCACCGCAACCTCCACTGCCGGGTTTCAAGTGATTCTCCTGCTTCAGCCTCCCGAGTAGCTGGGATTACGAGCATGCGACAACCACGCCCAGCTAATTTTGTATTTTTAGTAGACGTGGGGTTTCGCCATGTTGGTCAGGCTGGGTCTTGAATCCCTGACCTCAAGTGATCCACCCGGCTTGGCCTCCCAAAGTGTTGGATTACAGGCATAAGCCACTGCGCCTGGCCTTTTTTTTTTTTTTTTAAGTTTACCATCCTGCTTCTAAAATGTCTACAGAGAATAAAAGTTCACAAATAGCTAAGCCATTTTGAAAAAGAGCAGTGTTTCACACCTGTAATCCCCATACTTGGGAGGCAGAAGGCGGGTGGATCAGTTGAGGTCAGGAGTTTGAGCCAGCTGGCCAACATGGTGAAACCCTGTTCTACTAAAAATACAAAAATCAGCTGAGTGCCGTCGTGCACGCCTGTAATCCCAGCTACTAGAACCAGGGAGGCGCAGTTTGCAGTGAGGTGAGATCAGGCCACTGTACTGTGGCCTGGGCGACAGAGTGAGACTCAAAAAAAGGGGGGTGGGGGGAAGAGCAAAGTGGGCTCGGCACAGTGGCTCACACCTGTAATCCCAGCACTTTGGGAGGCAGAGGCGGGTGAATTGCTTGAGTCTAGGAGTTTAAGACTAGCCTGGGCAACATGGTGAAATCCCGTCTCTACAAAAAAATACAAAAATTAGCTGAGTGTGGTGGCCCTCACCTGTAGTTCCAGCTACTCAGGAGGCTGAGGTGGGAGGATCGCTTGAGGCCAGGAGGCAGAGGTTGCAGTGAGCTAAGACTGTGCCACCGCACTTTAGCCTGGGCAACAGAGTGACACCCTTGTCTTCAAAAAAAAAAAAAAAAAAAAGAGAAAGAAAAGGAGCCAAGAGATTCTCCTGCCTCAGCCTCCCAAGTAGCTGAGAGGAAACTTGCCATCTGTGTATTAAGACATAATCCTACAAAGCCACATAAATGAAAAAACAGTCTGTCTGTTTCTGGGTCACACTGACACCAAGAGCACAGATTAGAAAGTCCAGAATAAATGCAGCTGTTCCTCAGTATCCACTGGGGATTGGTTGCAGGAATGCTGCAGACACGAAAATCTGCAGGTGCTTAAGTCCCTGATATAAAATGGCATAGTATTTTGCATATAACCTATGCATGTTCTCCCTTTTTTTTTTATTTTAATTTTTTTTGAGACAGGGTCTCGCTCAGTTGCCAGAGCTGGAGCGCAGTGGGACAATCTTAGCAAAATCAGTCCTTCTCCAATTAAAAAAAAAAAAAGGAAACATTTAGGGCTAAGAAAGTTCTCAGAAGTATAGGAAAAAAATTACAAAATTACACTCTACATGTATTAGTTCAACATTAATTCTATAGTACTAACACTTAAGCATCATAAAAAAGATTACTAATGATTTTAAAAATTGGTTTTATAAGGATGGTAGAGCTTAGCCAATACCTTGATCACATGGAAGTGATCTCGAACCTTGCCTTTCCTTCTGGGGAATTTGTCTGTTAGAAAATGTCACCACCTCGTAACACAAAGTACTTTCCAACTGATACAAGGATCCAGTTTTCTGTTTTGGTCTTGTTCTTCTAAACGGTGTCCTGTCTATCTGAATTCCAGAGTCCTCTCTGCTTAAGGGCAGCTGATCATTTTCCTCTTCACTTTCTTCAGACCAATTCTGATTTAAAAAAGAAATAACTACACTTTAGCTTTATACAGTATACACATTTAAAGCTATTTACATTAAAGACTAAGACTTTGAAGAAAAGCAAAAAACTTTGAAGCAACATGGAACAGAAAAACAAATGAATTTTTTTTTTCCTAAATCTCTTGGAAGTGCCTATTATAGGACTAGAAATACGATTATTACTTTTTTCTATAATGTTGAAATAATAAGGAATGGAATCATTTTTTGTGGCTAAAAGTCCCACGATCACAGATCCTTAAGGGATACTTGTACTCACCCCTTTTAACTTTTTTTTTTTTTGAGAATAGAGTCTCTTGCTTTGTTATCCAGGCTGGAGTGCAATGGCACGATCTCAGTTCATTGCAACCTCCACCTCCTGTGTTCAAGAGGTTGTTGTGCCTGAGCCTCCTGAGTAGCTGGGATTACAGGCATGTACCACCATGCCCAGCTAACTTTTTGTATTTTTAGTAGAAGGGGTTTCACTATGTTGCCCAGGCTGCTCCCGAACTCCCTGGTCTCAAGTGATCCACCTACCTTGGCCTCCCACAGTGCTGGGATTACAGGTGTAAGACACCGAGCCCAAACAACTTCTTTTTTTCAAATTTATTTTTTACAAACAGATGCAGATCTTGCTATGTTGCCCAGGCTGGTCTCAAATTCTAGGCTCAAGCAATTCCTCCCGCCCCTCAAAGTGCTGAGATTACAGATGTGAGCCACCATGCCCAGCCTCTTTTAACTTTTTTTTTTTTTTGTTTTTTGTTTTTTGTTTTTTTTTTTAGACAGAGTCTTGTCTGTCGCCCGGGCTGGAGTGCAGTGGCCGATCTCAGCTCACTGCAAGCTCCGCCTCCCGGGTTCACGCCATTCTCCTGCCTCAGCCTCCGAGTAGCTGGGACTATAGGCGCCCACCACCGCGCCCGGCTAATTTTTTGTATTTTTAGTAGAGACGGGGTTTCACCGTGTTAACCAGGATGGTCTCGATCTCCTGACCTCGTGATCCGCCTGTCTCGGGCCTCCAAAGTGCTGGGATTACAGGCTTGAGCCACCGCGCCCGGCCTTAACTTTTTAATACTAATGATTTGGTGCAAAATCCTAACCAGGCTTCCATAATAAATGACTCTAGCTTAGTAAGAGTGTTCCTGTTTAGCTAAGTTGACCTAGGGTGGAAATACCCATTAAAATCATCTCTATCACCTGGCGTGTATTTAAATTTCAACAGCAAAACTACTGCCACTTACTGGTGTGTCCATGTAAGGACCAATGTCCATTTTCTTCACCTTCCATCAAGTATTTCCCCAGTCAAATCATCTTTCTTTTCTAAAAATGTAACAAAAGAACTTCACAACTTTCTTATATCTACATTTGAAAAAACCTCAAAACTAAGGAAAAGACTAACAAGACTCAAAATACTCAGGAAATAAAAATTTAAAATATTGAAACATTTAGTAAATTTATATTCTAAAACATTTTACATTTTAATTAACTCATTCTCAAAGGTGAGTGTTCTCTTTTTACAAGTGAAGATAGTTTGTAAACGAATACAGTCATCCCTCAGTATCTGAGGGAATTGGTTCCAGGAGCTACACCACCCTCCACAGTGCTCAAGGCTGATGATAGAAAATGGTGTAGTGTGTGCATATAACCTAAATACATCCTGCTGTATACTTTAAATAATCTCTAGATTACTTACAAACCTAACACCATGTAAATTTTTAAAAATTGTATATTATTAGATTGTATTATTTATTTATTTTTTTGAATGATATTTTTGTTGATTGGTATTTGGTTGAATCTGTGGGTATGGAACCTGAGAATATAGAGGGCTGACTGCATTTTAAATAAAATTTTATAATTGTGATAGCATCTACAATAGAAACACTTTAGTTTCACAGATTTTTTATAAGTTTCAATAAAACTCAATGTTTACTAAGCAAGTAATGAAACAATTTCTCTTTTACTTCTCATATGTTAAGGCATCTAGTAACATACCCCTTCTTTATCTCTGGTGTCTCCACATAATTGCTGTTTGAAGGAGAGTCTGACAGACACAGAAGAAGTGACAGTATGGAATAATGTGCATCGTCTTTAAAACAAAAAATGAACAACATGAATCTCTCTGAGGTTGGGAAATGCTTTCGACACTAGACTGAGTAAAGATAACTCTATGACAGGTATGTCCCCACTTTTTTTCCTGGTTTGAGAAAAACATGAGTTATATCTACATAATTCCTAACCTTCAAAGTTCTTCAAAGCTCAAACGCATATACATAAGGAA